TTGCTTTAGAAATTGGAACATAGAAAAGTAAATACTGTAAATAAAAATGAAAAGAAAATCTGAATCTCGATTTATTCATGTTTTTGTTTTTAACGAAATTATTGTTAATAATTTTAACGATCCCTAATCGATGGGAAAGGCTAAACTGCTATTGATGCAATAGAAATCTTGTTTTTTACAGTGAATATAAATTCGACTATATCGAATAGACACTTCGTACGAGTAGGAAAAATACATGAAAAATATTGATTTTGTTATATGCATATTTCTTTCTTGTTTGATGATAATAAATGTTTATTGGTATCTTGGTGATTGTTTCGCACTGCAGTATTTTTTGCAAGTTGAAAACTGATACGAACAATATCGGTTGCTATGTAAAAAAACCATAAATATGACTTTAAAATTTAGTGTGCTGCTCTCTATTATGAATTTATGATTCTAAGAAGTGATTTCATTAAGAAAGAGAAAAGTAAATAATTGACGAGGAACGAAAACGAATCCATAAGACGCACAGGCGTCTGAAAAAATGCGTATAGTAAGATAGACGAGAAAAAGGATAATTTTTATTTCGTTCCTGCTCATGTTTACAATAAGACAGAAATCACCTTCATTCTACGAGACACATGAAAGCTATCTATGTAACTATAACCTAAAGTGTCTGTTGTGAACAAAGGGATGCCATTAACAAAGATTCGTATTGCTCTAAATTCGATATATATATATATATATATATATATATATATATAATGAAAACAGTGAAAACTTATTGAAAACAAATTGATTTAGATTAAAGTATTCCTAAAATCATCCTGAACAATAGATTACCGAAAGCAATATTAGATGCATGCACAATTTTATGAAGAATCAGTAATAATATGTTTTCAGCCTAGAATTTAGAAGAAAAAACAACCATTAATCATGTGTTTAACACAATCACTGTGAATTAGAATATAAGCCGACCTATGTACAGGAACTATTTTACAGTATTTTGTTTTCTCAAGACTTATATTTGGAATAGAAAAGTAAATGGAATAAAATGAGATAAAGAGAGAAAAAAGAGAAGTAAAGTAATGAATATCAAAGCATTCGAGATGATTTTGTTTTCATGAATTTCTAACACGAAAACATTCTTATACCAACATTTTCGAAAAAAGAATGTAAAAGGAGCGAGTTAAATTCAATTAGAACTATGACGTGAAGAGAAGGAAAAAGAAAAGAGAAATAAAAAGCATCACAGAATACGAAAAATAAAATGCACTGAACGTGGATGGTGACGAAATTATGATTGTGCATTTTTTACGAATCTGAGACGTAGATGAGCATCTATAAGGTTACGAAAACACATACACGCGCTTGTATGGTTATCGATTTTAAATCGAAAGAAAAGAAGAAAAAAAATGCACAAGCAGCTCTCCAAAATTATGAAGTAGTGAAAATAAATAAATGAATTTTGAATCTTTCATTGTCGTCTATTCAGTCAATGTACATCGAAAAGAAACTTTGATATTATTTTTCTTTTGCTTTATGACAAAAAGAAAAACTGTACACTCTAAAAAAATTGGTTTTCTACGGAACCTCCAAAAAAGGTTAGGCAGTTTAGAAATAGCGTTGAAATGGTTGGAGATGCTTAAAAAACGATTATTTAGTTCTGTGAAACCTTTAAAGGTTCTTCCTCTTGATACACGGGCCGAACCTTCTCCTACGAAACCTTTCTTTAAGTTCCGTAGTGCAAAAAAAGGCTCCGGAAGAAAATACGAAACCCCTAGAGTTCCGTAGAAGAAACTCTCAGACCATTCAGGTTTAGTACAAAACCACTGAGGTTTAATACAAGGCTCTATGGGTTTCGTGTTTTCTGGCGGAATCTTTTTTTGCACTACGGAACTTAAAGAAAGGTTTCGTAGGAGAAGGTTCGGCCCGTGTATCAAGGGGAAGAACCTTTAAAGGTTTCACAGAACTAAATAATCGTTTTTTAAGCATCTCCAATCATTTCGACGCTATTTCTAAACTGCCGAACCTTTTTTGGGAGTTAAGTAGAAAACCAATTTTTTTGTTAGAGAGTAGATATGGAAAGTACTAGTTGAATTGTCACTAAGTATAGACAAGTCACATAAAATAATTACTTCAAAGAATTGAAAAGGAACAGAAAATATAAAATCAAAAGTAGTTTGCTTGCTTCATTTTGTGGTAAAGAGATAGTAACATTGATCAATGTTTCGCAGCATTCTATTAGATAAAACAAAACCAACTTCCTTATGACATTATTTGGATCGTTGTATTTTAATAATCATTGATTTATTTGCATCGTTAAAATCATCAAAAGAATGTGTTCATCACACTAATCGAATGAAAAGTTCATCCGAACTATAGAAAAAATATGTTCGAAAGATTGACATTATGTTCTTTACGAAGTTAATTAATCAAATATATCTTGCACATCTACATTTAATTTAGAAATCATTTCGTGTCTATCAATGTTGCCAATAATGTACATAATGTTATTATAATGCAATTTTTTTCATGCATTAAAATGCATTAATTTTGAACGAATCTTCGAAAATTTTATGATTATTTCTTTATAATGCATTGCAACACATAAAAAATGTGCAAAAAAATGCATTATATTTAATTAAGAGCCTGGAGAACTCCAGCGCATTATAATGCATCTTTTTTTCAAATTTTTAATGCATTATTTCTCAAATAATCCGTTTTAATGCATGAAAAGGTTGCATTATAATTACATTACGTACATTATTTATCAAAAATAATGTAAAATTATGTCCATTATTTTACATTATTGGTTACATGGGTAGTTTGTTTTGTATGAGAAGGGTAAACAGCAAACTTCTAATTTCTGATACATTTTCACCTGACTTTGTTAACTCAATAACTTCTAGTTCTCTCATTCTCCATAGTTTTGAAACCAGACGAATGCCATCTCATTACTCCCGATCCTCAGATTGAAATGTTTACATCATGGTAGCTTATACCACAGTTTCTTTTATCTAAACTTTCGTCTGAAATTTGTGGTTATACGACAGTACAGACAATAATTCTATTTGTTTCTTAATTGGTATAGAATTCAGTAGTTTTTAAAATACCTGCTGATTACCTTGATCAGGGACAAAATTCGAATCATGACAGCTTCGACATTAAAATGCCTATATTGGTGTTCTTCATTGCTTCTAGTACAAGTTCATTTCGCACTTCTAACACTAAAGATACATCTCGTTTTCCATTTGTTCTTTTTCAACTAAATTCAGAATAGATAAACCATCTGAATGAGTCCCTTAGTCTGGCACGAAACTGGTTATCCCATCTCAGAGATGCTGTCTTTTCTTTTCACTCTTCTACTAGATTTAGTATTCTTCTACATCTAGCACTGAAGATACATCTTGTTTTGGATTTTTTATTCGAAAAATTCATAATAGATAAGCCATCTGAATGAGTCCCTGAGTCCGAACGAAACTGGTTATGGTAGCTCAGAGAGACTACTATATAGTGGATCTAATACTAACTGATCCACCTGACGAAGTCTCACCGAGACAGAAACAACTGTCGTCGTAGAACGGCGATCATTCTAATACACACCCACACGCACATCCACACCCTTATCATACTATTACTAATGTAGCATTTGATTCGACATTTGCCTAGCAAGTCCCTTAAGCAAGGACGAAACCGGTTGCATCTAGCTTTGAATCAATATTGAGCCTTTCAAACCACACCCCATACCCACACCCACCCTCGACCCATTTTTGATAAATTAACCCCATATAGTTTGACGAATAGTAAAGAATTTTTGAAACATTTGAAAAAATACAGAACAACTGACCCTTGTGTATACATTCGACATAACCGATTTATTTATAATGATACCTTAGCAAGAGTCGATCTAAGCAATCTGTGAGATGTTACGGGAAAATAAGCTAAATAAAGTTAACGGAGAGATCCCAATAAATACGATTAGGACCCCGTTCAGACATGAGTTAGAGAATGTTTATTTCGCTTTACAGTTGCTCAGGCATATAGTTAAGTACTATAAGCAGGTTAGAGAAGGACCCATGGGATCAGAGTGCACCCAAGTCTTAGCAGCTGTATACATGAGAAAGGGGTAGAAGAAATTTAAGGAGCAACAGGAGAGAGTAGGAGAGATTTACCTTAGATTCCGGGATGATATTTTTATAACCACTAAGAGATCCAGGGAAGAAATGGATAAGATTTCATTAGAGTTAGGAAAGGAAGAGAAAAATATAGGGTTAGCATTTGAGACAGGACCCAACGTAGATTACTTAGATGTTAAAGCAGAAGTTGAGATTCCAAGTG